TTTACTTACACTTTCCCTGTTGGTTGTACATCCCAAGTCAGGCTTCTTTCAGCCTCCACTCCTCTCCTTGGCCTGACCACTAGACCATATGCTGTAGGTGGTGATAAAAGAGGAGTTGGGCTAACTGAACCTCACCTTTGCTGCCTTCTCTATCCCCATTCTGTTGTTCTTGGCTCCTTTCTTGATTCACTGCCCCCAGCACCACCCAGCCTGGTAAACGAGGTGCTTAACTATAACCATGCCACATCTATAGCCTGCTCTACCATGCAGACACCAAAAAAGTCTTCCTCTGGTTTCTGAGGCTCCCCTGCTCCACACCGAGAGGTTCCTTAAAGGTGCTAGCTCCTGAGTCGTCTCTCCCCCAAAATTCCCCCTTTCCTTCATAACTTCCTTCCCATCCTGAAATCGTTATTTTCCATTAATATTGTGCGTTGTATACACACAGGAAGAAAATGTAATTTTTTTTTTTTTAAATTTCATAACCAGTCTGTTTTGATGCCAGGCCTCCTAGCTATCTTACATATGTCTTTTGGATATGCTCTCTGTGCTTTTTTTAGACTTTTGATTGAGAAGGGGAATAGGACAGGTGAGGATGCTAAGGTAGATTAGAGGACCCCTACCCTACTACAGCTTTCCACAACCCTTATCATCCCTTTCACAGTACAGAACTGATAACTTGTTTCTGTTTGCGTGTGATGTGCATAGATATACCTACTCACCCATCCCAGTGTGATGACCCAGCAGGAATGGGCATAGGTGGTTGCTTGCCAACATTACCACCCTCTGCACCAGTTCACTCGTCTTTCTTTGAGGTGAAGTCCTACCCCAGAATGAGAAAAGGTCAGGGAGAGTAGGGCAGGTTAAGGCAGCTTATGTCCTTTATAGATCCAGGTTTGTATTGTAGCTACTAGGATTTATTTTTTTAATGAGGGTGGGGAGATGCTGGTAGCACAAGGATCTTTCACCAGCATTAGCTAGTGGTGAGTGATGTTTTAGCTGCAAGAAGTGACTCTGAGCACCAGTTTCATTGACTTTACCTTAAGGAAGTGATTCTCTGAATCACCATCATCTGGGAACTTGTTAGAAATGCAGATTATTGGGCCCATCCCAGACATACTGAAACAGAAACTCTGTGCACTCTTGGGGTGGCTTTTAACAAACACTCCAAGTGACTCTAATCACACTGAACTAAACTTTGAGAACCACTGCCTTCGGGACAAGCTGGGTATCAAGGATATGTTGAATACCGTCCTCTGCCTTAGCACTACCATATTTTTTTTATTTCCTCCAGTCCCTCCCTCTACTCCCATTAAAACAAACCAACCACATCACTCACTTCAAAATCTATGTTTGTCTCCTTTCCAGTCTTATCTCTGAAACCTGTCCCTGGGTCGGTCTGGACAGAGGTTGTCCAGTGTTCCCTTGCAGACTGGTCACTCCATGTTCTTTGTTACATTAAGGACCAGCTGGAGCTTTAGCTGTCATGTTCCTCCCATACACACACACATACCCTTCAGGCAGGGAGGAGATGAGCCTCCAGCCCAAACAGTGGGGGCTGCAGCATCCTGACACAGTATCTGTTTAAAAGAAAGCAGTGTGTAGCTATGATTATATCTCTGTTCATCTGTATATCCTTGACATGTAGCAACACCTCTCCATCTCATCAAGGAACTCAACTCTGGGTCTGGGTCTCCCCAGTCCCCAGTGGTGGGCTTTGACGGGTTAGAGGATGCAGTGCTACAGGCTATTTTGTTACAAACCGTCTTTTCCCTTCTCCCCTGCACCCAAGTCCGCATGATCCCTGTGAGCAGGCTCTCACAATCTCCTGGGACAGGGCTGAGGCAGAGGCTTCGCTCTCTTCTTCACCGTCCCTTCTTCCTTCTCCCTTGCCACTTAGCAGTTATCCCCCAAGCCAGGCCTTCTCCCTTCCTCCTTTCCCTGACATATATTGTGCCTTATTTATGCTGCAAATATAACATTAAACTACCAAGAGAACCGCTGTCATGTCTGATGCTTTAGTACTCTGATCTGCAAGTCCCATTGCCCACTCTTTCTGGGACCTCACTGGGCTTTCATGTTGTGGTCTTCCTCCTTCTCCCTATTCTAAGGATAGAAAGAATGGGCATTCTTATCTCTACTTTTTATACAGGGAAGACACAACCTAGAGAAGGTGGATGATTTGTCTAAATTGCATTAGCATGACAGAAAACATGGAACCAGAGCTCAGATCTGTGCACTGTGCCAAGACAAGAGGCACCCCCCACCCAGCATCGTGGGTGCACTCACCAGAGAACTAATGTATGCTTTATGTGAATGGGGACAGGAGAGTGTCCAAAGGAAAGTAGCCTCTTATCTTTCAGTGTTCTGTCGTTCCCCACCCCACCCAACACAGCAACAACAACAAAAAAATAAGCCCTGCCTTCAAGAAGCTTCCAGCCTGACTGGGGAGATAAGTATTGGAATGCATACATAAACAAAGTGAAGCTGTAATAAGTTCTGTGAGTCTTGGGAAGAGGTTGGTCTGGAAATGAGGGGTGGAGTTTGCTTAGAAGCCAGTAAGAGATAGTTCACAAGAGAAACAGGTAATGCTCAGGGGCTATGGGGAGTAAGGAGGTATAGGCAAAATCACTAATAATTCCATGCATCTGTGTATTCCTTTATAATTATTGTCAAAAGAGAGGTCCATGAGCCAGGCCAAAGAGTTTGACAAAAGAGGTAGCAGGTGCCTCTGAGTGTTTCCCAGTGGGAGACCCCATTGCCATGGAGTCAGTTGCGACTCATAGTGACCCTATAGGATAGAGTAGAACTGCCCCATAGTTTCCAAGGAGCACGTGGCTGGTGGATTTGAACTGCCCACCGTTTGGTCAGCAGCCAAGCTGTTAACCACTGCACCACCAGGGCTCCTCCCAATAGGAGAGAAATCATTTAAAATTTGTCTGCGGTCTTTGGTAGACAGTGGACACAAATAAGGAGGCTGAGCTTCCTTAGGACAGTGGGAAAGACAGCAGTGGTCTTCACTGTGTTGTGGGCAGGATCACACAGGGATCCAGAAAGGGGTAAGAAAGGAAGTGGCTGAAAGCCGAATACCAGAGCCAAGATTAAGAGATTTTGAAGGTGGGAATGAAGACTCTGAAGGCAGAGCATTTTGCCAAATTATCACAGTTAACCCATTCTGATTTCTAACCAAAGGACAGACTAACTCGCCTCCATCCTAGCAACAGGATGCCAACTAGACCAGCCCCTTTCTGAATGCAGCCTGAGTTCAGACCCACTTGTAAATGGTGATCAGAGAAATATTAGCAGCAGCAGGGTGGTGAATATTTGAGTGCCTGCTCTGTGCTAGGTGCTTTGTATTAAGTCATTTTCTGTAATCTCTTGATAAAAGGAGTAGTTGCCTCATTTTATTGATGATGAACTGAGGTTTAGTTTAAGAAACTTGCCCAAGTCACAGAGGAAAACACAAGAGCTAGGATTAAAACAGTTCTGTCTGACCCCGTGCCACTCTTTCCAATGCCTTACCCATCCTCGAAACCCTGCTCCTCTGTACCACTGTCAGAACAGGCAAGGAACAGGATGTGATGCAAGATCTACTTCCCACAGAAAAACCATCTACGCATGGACTTTTAAGAAGCAGTCAACTAAAAAAAAAAAAAAAAGCAACAGTCAACTACAAGATGTGATGCACCATGTAATGATAATGACTATCAGGTCCTATGCCTGGGACCAGCCGTGAGACAAGCTTACAAAAAGGCTCACCTTAGCTTAGGCTGCATTAATAGAGTATCTACAACATCACATCCAGAACAAAATATGCCCTAATCTACAAAATCTAAAGTGTAAGTTGGTTTCTAGGTGCTATGCTTTAAAGAGGGGGGCGTTTCCCCTTGAGCAGAAGACTATGAATTGTCTTCAAACATATGAAGGGCTGTTACACATGAACAAGACTGGAGATGTTTTATATGATGCAGGGGGACAAACTAAGACCACTCATGGTTTCACAGGGGTACTGAAGCTAGCTTGGCACAGGGATAAAACTGTCCGAAGACTCCCAGGAAATGATAAGTTCCCCGAGACTGGGTATACAAGAATAATCACAGCTAACATTTTGAGGACACTTGCTCCATGCCAGATCCTGTGCTGAATGGATTACAAAAAGTATCTCAATTAATCCTCACCATAGCCCTAGGAAGTAGTTCCTTTTAATGTTCCCGTGTTTTAGGTGAGAAAACTGAAGTTTATAGAGGTTACATTGGTTGCCCAAGATCAGGCTGATACAAAGCCTCCAGCATAGGCTAGAGAACCACGCTGGTGGGGGTGCTGAGGAAGGGATTCTAGTATTAAGAGGAAAACTGAAGGACCCCATCCTGAGAAGTAGTGATTCTGAATTTTCCTAAGGCAGAACAAAATGATAACCCAATCCAACAGTATCCTGCCACTGCCCTTCAATGATCCTGAGACCCCTTGCAGTCAGGGCCTGAGGACCTCCACTGCACCCCATCCCACCCTCCTAAGTTCCTCCTTTTCAAGAGTTCTATTCTAGAAAAAAGGAAATGGCTAGACCTGGCAGTAAGGGACTGAGACCACAGGGTGGCAGCAGTGCTTCAGCTGTGGAGGAAGATGACGAAAGTCCTAAGCAGCACTCAAGTGAAGATGGGGGTCAGTAAAGATTTGATACCATCCCCTGGGGATGCACAGGCTGGGTCATCCTGGCCAGCCGAGAGTCTTGCCCTCGCCCAGCTCTGATCCTGGCTTTTCCCTCTCTCCCTCTGTTCCAGGACATAATACCTAGCCTGCCCCGCCTGATAAGACTTTCTCTATGCTTTATTCCAGAAGTGAGAAAAGAGGGGAGGTGATCAATTGGAGCTCTCCAACCTGTTGAGGGATTGGGGGTTCTTGTAAGGCCCCCCAGGCCTGGCTCTGACAAAGCATCTGCAATTAATGATTCTTCTTGAGCTCTGGAGACAGGATTTATGCATCCAATAAAGTTTGTAACTCCAGGCTTAGAGGCTGGGGGCCGGAAGCAGAGCGCAGGGAGTCCCAGGTGGCTCTTAATGGAGCCGTGCATTTCCATTGCCTGCTCCAGATTCCCCCTCAGGCAGCTGTGGGTGGGGACAGGGGGACAGCAGGTATAAGAGGCGAGTGTGGCTGTAGAAAGGTGGATGGCAGCATGGATTCCAGGCCGGTAGCCGTGCTGCTGGTGTTGCTGCTGCTAATAACTGACTGGGGCCACGCTGAAGGACCAGGAGGCCAGGAGGAAGGAGACCAGATCTTAGTGGTAAGTGCAAGCCTCCACCCCCACCCCTCACCATTTTCTTCTACTCTAGCTTAAGACTTGCACTCGGTTCAAATATCTGGCTGCCAATATCTTCACTGAGTCCTCACATCTGAGAATAAGGCTTCTCAGCCTCCTACAACTTATCCTGGAAAGCCACTCCCTTTTCCTGAAGACCTAAATATCCAGGGCATTTGTCTATCTTCTTTCCCTGATGCCCCCTTGCCACAGGAGGAAGACAATGGACCCCACCCACTGCAGGACGCCCACACCCCTAGGTCACTCTTGCACTGCCTGCTCCAGGCCATGCAGGGAACAGGCCGGAGCCCAGCCTTCCTGTTTCAGCCCCCAAGGTGAGTCAAAGGGACACATGGGCACGGCTAGGGGTAGAAAGGGCAGGGGACAGAGGAAGGGAAAAGGGAATGGGGCTAGAGAAGGGCAGCGACCGAAAGGACCTACATCTTAGGATGAATCTCTTCTAAGGTTTGGCAGAAATACCCAGGGATCCTGGAACAATGAATGGCTGAGTCCCCGGGCTGAGGAGGGGCTGAGCTCTCAGCTCTGGAGCCTAGCCACCCACCAACGCTTTGGGAAGAAATGACATGTCATGCCCTACAGTGTCTGCATTCAAGACCCACACCCAAGTGCCGTGTGTCCCCAAATAAAGAATCTGGCTTCTGAATCCAAGTGTCTGGGACTGTCATGGGCTGGGAAGAAGCCCCCTTCACCTCCACCAAACTCAACAGGAATGCAGCTGACAGGATCCTGGACGTTACTGCACCCAGCCTCCTGCCACCAGAAAGGAAAATACAGGGATGTGTTTGGGGGCAGGGGCAGGGAAAAGCAAAGGCACAAAAAGACACTAAGGAAGTGATCTGGTGCTAACCATTCTCTGCCATCAGCTCTACTGAGGGAAACAGACCTGGGTTTAAGAACCCATGGAGCAGCATGTTTATTCTGGGCTCCAAGGAAGAGCCCCCGATTTCCTTTCCACTTGTTATCACCATCACAATGAGGACAGATCCCGGCAGGCTGTGGCCTTATGGTCCCTGGCTCCTTGCCCTGCGCTCTCCTGAACCTCAAGGCAGGCAGTCTGTGTCAGAGGTAGAGACGGCACCTCCAGGGGGCACCAGAGCTGGATACAGATACATTGGCCAGCGGGCAGGAAGAGCAGGGGCAAAGGATGCATGCCCGTGAGTCCAGCTGGGGCTTCACTTGCTGCCCGCCATGATCTTAAGGTACTGCAGGGCACGGCGAGCAGCCTCGCCGCGGGCAGCCTCCCGGGTGGTTGCAGAGCCATGACACACAGTGGCTGGCTGTGTGGACAGTTCTACCAGGCACTGGCACAGCCCGCTCAGGCTTAACTCCTCTGCAGGCCAAGAGAGAAAAGGGAGGCAGTGTTGGGTTGGGAGGCAGCACCAGGGTGATGTGCATTAACATCGTCTTCATCTCCTCCCGACTCCCTTATACCCACACATGCTTGCTCTGGTCCGGTCCCCAGCCCTGACCCCCAACCAGCCATACCAATATCCAGGTAGCTGACATGGAAGGCCTGCTCCTCGGAGAGCTCACTGAGGACACTGCAGCAAGCAGGGCCCAGGGCACCAAGGGAGCCCAGGGAGCAGCTGCGAAGGGACAGGATCTTCTCTCCCACGGAATTTCTTAGAGAATCCCAGGTGCAGCCTGGGCCCCGGTTCCGAAGTCCATCCAAGCGGGAGCCCACACCCTGACAAGATGGGCACAATGAGAACAATGCAGCCAGGGACTGTGGGACATTCAAAATCCAAAGAAGAAAGCCCAGAGTGCCTGTTCCAGCTTGCCTCCCCCAGTCAGTCCCAATATGGACCCTGCTAACTACTGGCCCCTAGACCAGACAGCCACGTAGCCTTCCTCATTCCAGCAACAGAAGCCCACAGGGCCCTGGGCTAGCTCCCCCACAGCACTCTGGGGGGCCAACAAGTCGAGGCTGAAAGTGCCTCGAACTCTGCGTCTGGTAGGAAATGAGGCAGCAGCAGGCCTTGAGCTGGAGAGGCTCACTCCTGAGTCACAGACCCAAGTTCCTAGTACCCTGCCCTGGCATGGAGGAAGGCCCACAGCACCTGGCCCACACAAGCCACTCACAGTGGAGAAGTGATCATCATCAGGCTCCACTTCATTCCCATCCCGGGCATCCAGAGGCACTGTATGCACTCGGAGCAGCATTTTGGCCGCTGCATTACGCTTTGCCAGCTTTTTGGAAGTGCCACTGCCTGCATGTGGGGAGAGAGGGTGCCAGATTATCATTCCCAGCAGGCCCAGTACTTTCCACCCAGTGCATTCTTGGAAGGTCCCCTCACAAGGATGTCAACTGGAAAGAAGCACTCAGGACCTGCTCGTGCACCCAACAATCTGGTCGACCAGAAGAGAGCGGGAAGGATAGGGTGCAAGAAAAAGCTACAAGGAAGGAGCTGAGCCCAGGACTGAGAAGCAAGGTGAGCTGGGGCTGTGCAGTGAGGCCAGGAGCTGCCCCGTAGCTGGGGCTGGAGTGCTGGGGATGGTAGTTGAAGAAACCCCTTCTGCTCAGTTACCAATCTCAATGAAACGTTCCACTCGGCAGGTCATGGTAAACTCTTTGCGGTGGGCTGGCCCGGACTCCTGGGTCACTGTGTACTCAGGTAACCGCCAGCCTTTCTGCACCACCAGCTCCTTGGAAAGGGTGGAGAAACAGTGATGCACAGAGCTGAGTAAGAAAAGACTCCCTCGTATCCATGCTGAGGCTATAGGTTAGAGGAGGGATAAAGGGGGGTGGAAAAAGCCTCCAGTACAGGGCAACCCCACTGTCCCCCCACAAAGACATAAGCTTCCCTCACGGCCCTGGTTCAAGGGAAAACAGGCATGCACAGGAAATGAGGATGGGGCACACCTGCAGAGCACCAACGGGGTTGCACTCAGACTGCTGAGGGGAGACAGGGGGCTGTACCTCCATGGGGGAGCTCCTGAAGGAAAAAGGGCCCAGGGCCAAAGCTGAGGGAGATAGCTCCTTCTGTGGCTACCCATAAGCCCAAGTCCTGTAGCTTTGGTTTCCTTAACTACTATCTCCTTATTTCCCACTAGGCAGACAACTGTCTACCCAAATGTCTAGCCTTCCTCCCTCCTGCTCTAGTCCACTTCCCCCTCCCACCCAAGTGAGGCCTCCTCTGTTGTCCCAGCCCGATTTCCATCCTGTACACTTAGGCATCATCTCACTAGGATAGTGGAACAGGGGCTGTATATCCAGTCCCAGGAAGCACCTAATGGGACTCAGACACGGAACCATCATGTGGCCAATCCAGAAGAAAATGGGCCCTGCAAGACCCTTAACTCCAGCCTGACATCACCCTTATGACTATTTAAAAATCATAAATTACTTCCTGTCCCAACAGCTTACCAGCTGGCGCAAATTCTTCCAGCACAGGTCCCCATCTAGTCCACCCTCTGTCTACTCTCAGACTTCCTCATGCCCTGACCAGCCTAGGTCCAAGGACTGAGGGCCAGGAGTTAGGACCCCTTCCTCTCCCACCTCAACCAGTCAGGGGACAAAAGATACCTGGTTGGGACAGCAGACAGAACAGGAGTAGCAGCCACTGCAGCAGTAAAAACTGGAACGTCCTCAGGCAGTGAAGAGTCTAAGGGAGAAAAAGAACTTCCCGAGGGGAAGGGAGCCTTTGATTCACACTCGTGTGTAAAGGGGATGAAGAATGGGGGACCAAGGTCCTCCTGACATGCCCATCCCCTAAGAGAACCCTTTCCCACTTGAGCCAAAGACTCAGGGGAGCTGAACCAACAGCTCTCCCTTCTGAGGTCATTTGCTGTCAAAGAATGAATAAAAAAAACTGAGAAAAGGACAAGGAGGGTCTCTTCCTACCCAAGAATGCTGGAAGCAACCAACTCCAGCCTAAATGTAGAAGAGGAAAGGACATCTTGCTAGAAAGAGAAGGCATGTTGGGGAGCAACTCCCTTCAAGTTCAAGCCTCCACCCCTCTCCCTCCTAATCTGGGTCCCAAACCATAGCCACAACCCCTTGATGGGGCTGGCCACTCCCCCCAGAATCCTTCACTGTAGCAGAAGCTCTGGAAGCACCCTGCTCAGGTCCAGAGGAAACTAAGGAAGAGGCCAAGGCAGAGTGGTGTACTGGGCAGAGGGAGTGGGGCAAGTGCCTGGTTCCTGCCAGGGCCTCTAGGATGCCTCAGCTATTCCTCCCTCACCTGCTGTCCTCCAGGGCCGGCTCCAGCATGCTCCCCCCTTTGAGGTGCTTGAGGGCCACCTCAGCTGCCTTGTGCTTGGCTGCCTTCTTGCTGGGGCCCTGACCTGAGACAGGGGTCAGACAATATTGGAGGTCACTGGAAGGATGGAAGAGAAGCCAGCATCCCACAGCCTCTCTCCTCGCAGCCAGAGGGAGTCAACTAGCCACCTCTGACCAACCTCCCCCTGCCCAAGACTGAAAGTGTTACACTAATTGCTGGAAGAAGGGCTCTTATGACTCCCTCCCCCAAATCCTTACTGAGGTTTAAGTTTATCGCCTACTTTTTCCTCAAGGATGATGAGGATCTGCCAGATCACTGCGGCAGTCCTGCTCTCTCCTCTAACTCTCCCAAGTTCTATCCCACCTCCCCACAGCCCTGTTCTCCCAATCCAGTCAGTGGATTCCCCTGAAATTTCTCCTTCCCTCACTGGGCTTGGAGAAGACGACTGTGAATAAGCTCCAAGAAGCAAAGCCATGGGACCCTGTGAATGCACACCCCAGCCAGGCTGCCAAAGCCTTCCTCACCAGTGCAGCTGGTGTTGCCAACGGTGACCCGGAAGGTGAAATTAGGCTGGTGGGCTTGGCCCTCGGCTTTGAGAAGGTCGTACACGGGCGTCTTCCCTATTCTGGTCCCATACTCCTGCAGAAGGCTGATCGGGGTCTTGCCCGGGTTGGCGGCCAGCATTTGCTCTATACTGGGGGGAGGGGCACAGACCCACATCACACCTCCCCTCCCTCCACCCATCTGGCCAAGCACTGCCATACCAGACCCAGGTACATTATGGGAACACAGGGTCCAGGGGACCCTGGCAGTACAGCAGCCATTGGCTGGATTCAATGTGGAGTAGAGGTGCAGGCTGGGAAAGCAATGTCCATTGCCCCAGGGCAGGAGGGGAATGCACAGTTCCTATCTCAGTTAAGGCAGGTATCCTGTACCCCACTGCAGGTTGGAAGTGCACGTCCCGCCACAGTGCAGGCCAGGAACCCAGTACCCACCAAACGCACTGAAAGTCGGGGGCATAAAGCCCAGTGCCCCAGGGAAGTCTGGGAACCGGGACAAGTCTAAACTATTTAAGGCTGGAGGCAGTGGCCACTGCTCGGTGCATGCCGGGAATCACTGCCCACTGCCCCAGTGCTTGCCGGGAACAACCCTCAGGCCAGGTGCATGCTGGGGCCGCGCCGCTGTACACTCCGCACCGTGCCACTCTTTTCGCCTTGTAGGACCCCTTCCGAGGCGGCTCACCTGGGCAGCCCGCAGCCCGTGGTAATGCCGGAGCCCTGCTCCTCTTCACTCATTCCCTCCTCCGTCCCCGCGGGCGCCACCGTGACTGCAGCCTACACGCGCCCCAGTACACCGCCAACGAGCTAGGGCCGGGGCCAAGCCCGGAGTCGCGGCCGGTAGGGCCCGCCGCGGAGCATGCTGGGATATTGAGTCCCCCGCCCACCCTACATCATGCATCTCCATTAGGAGCGGAGCTATCCGCCCCACAACCCTCCGCGTGGTTCGCCCTGGCAAGCTACACCGCCTTCTGGGAGGAGCAGTCCCCTCCTCTGTCGCTTCCTGAGCTGAGGGTTGTTTTTTTTATTTTTAATATCGTCCCGCCTCCTTCCTTCCGTTCCTCCTTTCCCCGTCTACTATGAAGCTGTGGACATGCGCACTAGGGGAATGGAAGCGGCTGGGGGCGGGGCGGTAAAGGGTAACTCTAAAATGGGACCCTTTGAATTCCGAGAGAACTACAGAACCCAGGAGCTTGTGCGCCATTTTTGTCGCAGCTGGAGGGGCGGGGTCTAACGCGCACGAGAAGCTTCGCGGAGTGATTGGTTATTCCTGATTGCGTTTCCTTCCTCTAGGCAAATTTAGATTGGTTACTTTGCCTAGAGGGGCGGGAACAAGGGAAGAGTCGGCTGCCTTTGGCCCCGCCTTTTTCTCGAGACAAGACTGTGATTGGTCCGGCGGCGAGGAGCGCTGTCTGGGAAGGTGGGCCTTTACCTGGACGTGGGTGGGGGTTGTGCTCTGCGCCCCAGAGCGCTGGGACGGTTGTGTGGTTAGGTTACTCTCTGAGCGTTGCCTCTCACCCCTTGGCCTAAGCCCCTGGTTCTCAGTCCTCCGTCTCACAGCACCTTCTCCTTTTCTTAAAGGTTACCCTTCACCCCCTTTGCAAAGCTTTTCACCTTCCACCCCTGTTCCAGAAGAGACGCTCACCCTAGTGAGCCTCTCTGTAACTGGCTAGGAAATCCCCTCAGGGGCCTCAAAATCAGGCTATCGGATGAGACAGGATGAGGACTAAGCAATTGGTCTCGCTCTTTCTGTCGTGGGGCTTGAGTTTCTCAGGTGAAGCAAAGCAAGAGACGATTCTGACTACTTAAAACTAATAGACTAATCTGAGTGCAGAACAGAACTCGTATTTTTGGGTCCCAGAGCTCCATTCCCCAAAGTCTTGTAACCACTGGGCTGAGAGAGAGAGGGGAAATCTTGTGACTTTGGAGGCTTCTAATCACGAAAAATGTCTGAATGAGTGTTCTAAGAAGGTGTCAGGGAAGTCTGAGCGGGATTGGAGGTTCAGAGGAATCTTGGAATGATCATGGAGAGGGAGGGGGCCTAGAGCTGAGGCGCGCAGCTTTTGGTGGAACTGGAGTGATGACAATTCCGGGAAGGAGAGCTGGCAAGATCGGTATGACAGGGGAGCAAAGCCAAAGCGCTGGGGGTCCCATCTGGGGGGCTGAAGTCTCATGGTAAAGGAGAGAGTTTATAAGACGGGTCATGGGGTTCCTATGGAATCAGCAAAAAAGCCCAGGGTAGGACCGCCACAGGACACCACCAGCAGGGAGGCGCAGGGCGCAGACGGGCCAGGGACGAGACCGGAAAGCGCCGGATGGCAGCAGTGGGCTCCTTTAAGAGGCCGACGGCTCCAGCGCAGCATCCCCTGCTCAGGGCGTGTCCGTCCCGGGAGGCCAGGGGCGGGGGCCCTGAAAGGAGCTGGAGTTCGAGCCGACAGGGGACAGGGCTAGGGTCAGGGGTGAGGGTGGGGGCATAAATCTGGGTCTGATACCCGAGCATCCGGACACCGCACGAGCCTCGTCTGTGACAGCGACCTGGGTCCGGTCGAGGGCAGCGGGAGGGCGGGGGGGAGGAGGGAAGAAGGAGGAGAAGGAGGAGGAGGCGGGAGCAGCATCCGGAGCGGAGCTGCAGCAGCGCCGCCTTTTGTGCTGCGGCCGCCGAGCCCCCGAGGTGAGAGCCTGGCCGAGTTGTGGGTGGTGGGGGGTTGGAACGGACCCGGGTCGTGGGATCCGGGTGCGAAGGGAGGGTCGGGATGCAGATGTGGCGTGGGGGAGGGGGTGGCGCGGGGATGCTGAGGCTGTGGGGATGGGGAACCGGGAACCTGGACCCGATGCCTGTGGGGATGGGAAGGAGGCGAACTGAACGGTGGGATGCCGCGGCCCAGCTTGGAGACGAAGGGCTTCCAGAGCTGGAAATGACTGTATTGCAGAGAAACGAGGGGATGGGGTGATTGGGGGCAAACTTAAAGAAAGGACAGAGGGCAAGAGAACATCCTCCTCTCCCCCCGCTCATCCTCAAGAAGGGGGAGAGAGAAGGGAGAGTTTTGGCTCCCTCCAGGAAAGGAAAGGAAGGGCAAGGCCTGCTGTACCCACTGCCCGCCCGCCCCCACTCCCGCACACACACAGCAGGCTAGACCTGAAAACTAGTCAGAGTGCACCTGTTCCTGCATGTCCAGGCATTGGTCTCCCGCCCCTTCCAGTTGTGATGCCCTCAATCCCCTCCAGCTGTGGCATTTACCTCCTTCCAGCTGTTGCATCCTCCCCTCCCCCATCCATATGTGGCTTTCTCCCTCCTCCTCCTTTCCATCTTCTCTGGCTCCCCTAACCCATTCCCCCAGCTCAGGCCCTTCAAGAACCGCCTCTCTTTCCCCCACATACTCCTCAAACTCCTTGTCTTAAAAATGAGCAAGAATCCTTTCCACAGAGTTGAGACTCCTGATAACCGTGGCCTTGGCTGAGGGAAGAGAAGACAAGGGGTCAGAGGCCCTATAGACAGAGAGAGGAAACAGTGGGTGTCCTTTAGAATTGGGGGGGGTCCCACCTTGTAGCTCAGATACCTGCTACCTCTTGAGAGGAGAGTAGGTGAGTGGCCTTCAACCAGGACGGCGTGCACATGAGGTCTCTTCATCCTTGCCATGGTCCTTTCAAGCCACAGTCAATGACTCCCTCTAAACACCATTTCCTGCCCATCTCTTAGGATAAACTCCAATACTCTGGGAGCATGATTTTCAGCTAGAGTCATACCAAACTGAGGCAAGCAGAAGGGATTCAGGAAGTACCTCCGGAAGTTTCTCTGGGTTTTAGGGCCCTGCTCTCTCCTATCCCACATTTAAGGGTGAAAAAAGCTATCTGCTGTCTCAAGCCTGCCATGGATCCGTTCACTCACGTTGGAGACTGAGGTGATTGTGCCAAGCAGACCAACAGTTTGATACCTCAACTCCCAGCACACATGAAAACACAACTAAATACTTGTCCCCGATTAAACCCAGTTATGGGCAGAGGAGGCCGGGAGTTCAAGTTAAGGAAGTGGCTCAGGATTTCCTAGTCCTCCTTACAGCTAAGAATGGCAGAACCCCTCTAAAAAACAATTGCTGTTCCCCAGTCTTTCCCTCCGTGGTGATAATGTGGTAAAGTCTCCCTTTGCCAGGAAGAGGAGCCTAAGTTCTAGTACCCACCACCCTGGACTCGCCTAATGACTCATCCTGTGCAGGGTCTGGGAGAAAGAAAAGATTGGGGAATCAACCCCTGTAGGAATCCCTGCTGGGGAAAAAGGAGGATAGCATTGAGATGATGACAGCAAGGGGCATAGGGGCTTCATGAGGGGTTGGTTGACTCCAGAGACTGGTCTGGTTCATTTGCTCCCAAAAGGACTAGGGTCATGTGTGTAGTGGGGAAGGGGGAAAGGAGACAGCAACACTATTCCAGAGAAGGATAAGAATCATCCAGGATACGCAGCCCTTGCCCTCTGGTTTCTTCTTGTTTTGCTCTACTTTTTTCCCCTCTTGTTTCTCTGCCTCCCTTTCCATCTGTACCCTACCTGCTGCCTCTTGCTTTGAGAAAGGAAGAGAGCTCATATTTATAAAGAACCTACTACTATATGTTAGACACTTTCCACACAGCTAATGCACCTGTGGTGGATTTGAACTGCTAACCTTTTGGTTAGCAGACATAGCTCTTAACCACTATGCCACCAGGGTTTCCTATGTTTATGGGGAGCTTCCTATGTGCCAGGTACTGGGCCGAGAACTTTATTTGGATTATCTCAGTCATGCTCATAACAAGCCTAAGAGTTAGGTAGTGTTATCATCAAAGAAGTAATTTGTTCGGAGTCAAAAAGTTAGTCTGTGGCCAGAGCTAGGATTTGAACTCAGGTCTGTATGACCCAGAGCCTGTGTTTTTACCCACCACATCTTATACTGCATTGCCACTATGTGAGAGAGGTACCATTGTACCCATTTAGAGATGAAGAAACTGAGTTAAGAAGTCTCGTACTCAAGGTCACCCAACTGGTAAGGAGCGGGGACAAGACTTCAACCCAAGCCTCTCTGATTCTAATCCTGGTCTCTCTCTACCACATCAGTCACCCTCCCTCTAAAGCACAGTTGTCCTCAGCTAAGTGCCAGGAATGGATGAACACACTGTAATTTTTATTTTATCTATGTCAATTTAAGATACATTTTTTATTTATTTTAAAAGCAATTAAAACGTATTACTGAAATATTAAAAAATTTAATAAGCCAAAAGAAGAAAATAAGAACACCCATAATGCCACCTACTTAGAAACTGTTACACTTTGGTAGCTATCCTTCCAGATCTTTTTATATGCACATTCAGCTCAGGAACTACTTGTGAAAATATGCTGAACTTCCAGGTCCACCTGAGGTCCTGAGTAGGAAGGACCCACAATGGCCTGGCCCATCATACCTTGCTCTTATCCTCCTCTTCCCCTCAGGCCTTAGTAGGTGGGGCTGAGGGTGATCCTGGGCCACATGATCAAGGTGAGGGTCTTAGTGGTGCAGCTGCTAAAGAGAGCAAATTCCAAGGAGAACTAACTGTCCAGGGGGCAAGAATGAAGTGTAGAGGATCAGGCCTTCCCCTCAGTCCAGAGGAAGTGGAATGGCAGGATTTACAGAGGAAGGACTGAGGATCTGGGAAAGAAAGTGCTGTGGGCTCTAGACACCACTGCCATTCTGACCTGGTTGCACTGGAACCTGGAGTCCAGATTTGTCCTGGGGTACTAGAAGATCGGAGACCAAGTCTCCCTTTATCTGGTCAGGCAGAAGAGATGGACTCTTCAGGATCCACAAAGAAAGACCTGGTGTCCAGCCAACCAGGAAGACAAAGCAAGGAGCCAGGCAGCATGCTCACTGCACTCCCTACATCATCCTACTTCACTCGTACCACCTGATAAGGTAGGGCTGGGTGTTTCAGAGAGGTGATTGTACTTAATCAGTGGCAAAGCTGGGGTTCTAGAGGCCCTGATCTCCAAATCCAAAGCTGGCTCTTTTTTCGTAAATAATAGTGCCCCTCCAGCCTGCCTCCAGTCCTTCCACTGCCTGCCTTCCTGGAAGAAGAAGTGGTGGCTGCTAGGAGTCTCAGGGCTTGACCTGGAGGAGGCTGGCGACCTGGATTTAGGGGGTGATCTCCAGGTCTCCCCATGTTCTCTGGGGAAGGCATTCCCCCCTCATGAGGGCACTGAGAAAAGCTGTAGTTCTTTCCATCTTAGGAGAGCTCTGGAGCCAGCACCATGGACTCTGTAAAAAAGCAAAACAAAACCAAGCTGAAGCCAAGTGGACAGGAGGCATGGCCATCAAGGTTCAGAGTCCTATACCCTCGCAGCGTCTCAAAGCCTACAGAAGTGGGAACTAGAATTCCAAAGGCTTGGGTC